ACGATCACCAGCGTTCGCTCGGCGGTCCTTCGCGCCCTCATGACCTTCCTGCAGCTGGAAGGCGAAGGTACCAACGAATGGGTGAATGGAAAAGCACTGCGCTTGATCTTTCAGAACCTCTTGGTGGAACGAAACGAAGGGGTGCTCAAGCTCTCGCTTCAAGTGTGGTCGGAACTGCTAAATTCCCTGGAATCTCGGGGGGTGTTCAAGGCTGATGGCGACCTCCTGAGCTACATCGAACCGCTCATCACCCTCACAATGTCACCATTCGGTGTCCCCAGATATCCTCTTCCCATGGACGCCTCACTCTTCATCAAGCCATCTGGGGTGCCTTTCCCAAATAGTGCCGCGGCCCCCGCAAAGTCCTCGCCCACCGCGAACAATGCCGCCGCCGATGGACCGAAGAAGCGCGGGCGGAAAGCGGAAAAGAAAGAAGCGCCCCCGCCTTCAGCTCATAATGTGGATGGGCACATGCTTCAGGGCGATATTGATCTGGTGGGCGCAGATACAATGCTGCGATCGAAGATCTACGCGGCCAGAGCACTTGGCAAGTTGCTCTTCCTCTGGGATAAGAATGAACTTCCCAGCCTGTGGCAAACTATCTTGGCTGGTCTCAGGCATACGGCGTCGACGTCGCAATTGTCGACAGCCATGATCGTCGAGGAGTACGCTAGGGTCTCTGGACCTGGCAGTAAGTATGCTTCCCTTCTCACTGAGCAGTTACGCCCAATCATCGAAGGCGAACGCCCCCTGTGGTACAGCGACATCGCATGCTATCTACAGGTCGCCCGCGCACAGTGCCACTCGCTCCTTTATGCGTTCAAAGACCACGCTCATGTTCCTGGGTCAAGACTACCCACGCTGGCGGTCGTTGTCCAAGGAGAAGAGCAGGCTGGGCCCAGTGCGTTCTCCCTTGCCGACGCCGAAAAGGTTGCTGGGCCCGATTTTGAGCGACTGAAGAAGGGTCTGGCCCCAGCCCAGCGTATCACCGCCCTCCAAGTTCTGAATGACACCCGTGCGACCGCAGAAAGCGCCATCGAGGAAGCCAGAAGTGTCCGGGAACAAAGGGATCTGCGTGTGCGGGCTGCCGCCGCGGGTGCGTTGGTGGCGTTGCACGACATTCCCAAGAAGCCAAGCCACATCATCAAGGGCATGATGGACAGTATCAAGAAGGAAGAGAATGCGGAGCTGCAACAGCGCTCTGCCACAGCTATCGCTTTCTTGGTTGAATACTACACCACTGCTACCAAACGAGGCCCCGTCGACAAGGTAATCGGCAATTTGGTCAAGTATTGCTGTGTGGACACTTCCGAGACGCCCGAGTTTCACCACAATGCGACTCTGGAGAAGTCCATTCTGTCTCTGCGCAAGGAAGAGGACAGGCGCGACCATCCGGATGCGGCGAAGTTCGAGAGAGAGGCGAAGGAGGCGAGGATTATGCGCCGTGGTGCCAAGGAAGCCCTCGAGCAATTGGCCGTCAAGTTCGGATCCCAGCTTTTGGAGAAGGTTCCCAACCTCGCAACCTTGGTGGAGCGGCCTCTAAATGAGGCTCTTGCTGGCGAACTTCCCCCAGAGATCCTCAATCCCGACAACGAATTGGGTCAGGAGGTTGTGGATGGCCTGTCAACACTGCGCGCCTTGCTACCGAAGTTCGATAAGGGTCTTCACCCTTGGATTATCGGGCTCATGCCTCTCATTGTCAAGGCTCTGCAGTGCCGACTTTCAGTCATCCGATATGCCGCCGCCAAGTGCTTCGCAACCGTCTGCAGTGTCATTACTGTTGAGGGTATGACTATGTTGGTTGAGAAGGTACTGCCAACCATTAACGATCCTTTGGATGTCCACCACCGCCAGGGCGCTGTGGAGTGCATCTATCACCTGATCCATGTGATGGAGGACGGAATCCTTCCCTATGTCATCTTCCTCGTGGTGCCGGTTTTGGGGCGGATGAGCGACTCGGACAATGACGTGCGCCTCTTGGCTACAACGTCTTTTGCTACTTTGGTCAAGCTTGTTCCTCTGGAAGCTGGCATTCCCGATCCGCCAGGCCTATCCGAGGAGCTGCTCAAGGGACGAGACCGGGAAAGGAAGTTCATGTCTCAGATGCTGGATGTCCGCAAGGTAGAAGAGTTTCAGCTGCCAGTTGCGATCAAAGCTGAGCTTCGGCCTTACCAGCAAGAGGGTGTCAACTGGCTTGCTTTCCTCAACCGGTACAACTTGCATGGTATTCTTTGTGATGACATGGGTCTTGGTAAGACTCTGCAGACCATCTGCATTGTCGCGAGTGACCACCATCTGCGCGCTGATGAGTATGCACGGACCCAGTCAGCGGAAGTTCGGAAGCTCCCGTCTCTGATTGTCTGCCCCCCGTCTCTTTCCGGTCACTGGCAGCAGGAGGTTAAACAATACGCCCCGTTCTTGAACTGCGTTGCTTACGTTGGTCCCCCGGTGGAGCGCGCAAAGCTGCAGGGTAACTTGGCGGATGCCGACATTGTCGTGACTTCTTATGACATCTGCCGGAACGACAACGACGTTCTCCGACCGATCAGCTGGAACTACTGTGTTTTGGATGAAGGACACCTTATTAAGAACCCCAAGGCCAAAGTCACAGTTGCAGTCAAGCGGATTGCCAGCAACCACCGGCTGATCCTCTCTGGTACCCCGATTCAGAACAATGTCCTGGAACTGTGGTCGCTCTTCGATTTCCTTATGCCCGGGTTCCTTGGTACAGAAAAGGTCTTCTTAGATCGGTTCGCCAAGCCAATCGCGGCCAGTCGCTTCAGCAAGTCGTCTTCCAAGGAACAAGAGGCCGGCGCTCTTGCTATTGAGGCCTTGCACAAGCAGGTGCTTCCGTTCTTGCTTCGTCGTCTGAAGGAGGAGGTCCTGAACGATCTGCCACCGAAGATCATTCAGAACTACTACTGTGACCCTAGTGACCTCCAGAAGAGACTTTTCGAGGACTTTACTAAGAAGGAGCAGAAGGAACTGGCAAACAAGCTGGGTAGCTCCGAGAAATCCGACAAAGAGCACATCTTCCAAGCACTGCAATACATGCGCCGTCTTTGCAATTCCCCTGCGCTGGTCGTGAAAGAGGGACACAAGCAGTACAACGAGGTCCAGCAATACCTCACCACGAAACAGTCCCATATTCGCGATGTGTCCCATGCACCGAAGCTCAGCGCTCTGCGCGACCTGCTACTCGACTGTGGCATCGGTGTCGACCCACCCACTGAAGGCGATCTCGGCACCGGGGCAAGCTATGTCAGCCCACACCGAGCTCTGGTGTTCTGTCAGATGAAGGAGATGCTCGACATCGTGCAAAGCGAAGTGCTGCGCAAGCTTCTCCCCTCGGTTCAGTATCTCCGCCTTGACGGTGGCGTGGAAGCTACCAAGCGTCAGGACATTGTCAACCGCTTTAACTCGGATCCCAGCTACGATGTTCTGCTCTTGACGACCAGCGTTGGTGGTCTGGGTCTGAACCTAACGGGAGCCGACACAGTCATCTTCGTGGAGCACGACTGGAACCCGCAGAAGGATATCCAAGCTATGGACCGTGCTCACCGTATCGGTCAGAAGAAGGTTGTCAACGTGTACCGGTTGATCACACGCGGTACTCTGGAGGAGAAGATCCTGAAGTAAGTTGATCCTACAGTGATCACTTGATTTGCCAATACTAACCATTCTCCAGTCTCCAACGATTCAAGATCGATGTGGCCTCCACAGTGGTCAACCAGCAAAACGCGGGCCTGAATACAATGGACACCGACCAACTCCTGGACCTCTTCAACCTCGGAGAAACCGCCGACAACGCCGAAAAACCCAACGAGCAAGCCGGCAACGAAGTAGACATGGTCGACATCGACGGCGAAGTCAAAGAAAAGGGCAAGAAGGGCTGGCTAGACGATCTCGGCGAGCTCTGGGACGACCGCCAATACCAGGAAGAATACAACCTGGACTCGTTCCTGGCCACAATGAAGTCATGACCAACCTCCCCAACCGCCCTCCCTATCCAGGGCAGTTCAATACCCTAGCATCTGCAACAAGCAGCGCTAGTACCCACTACCTACATCATCCCCTCTATCATCCTCGCATACACACATCTCCATGTACCAAAAGAAAGAAAAATCCAGCAAGGCGTTCGGGACCTCTCCTTTCCTACCTACCACTTTTTATTCATCCATTACGGCGGTGTTGTGTTAAACTACTTTCTTTACCAGGGAAGCCGGCGTGGAGTTGACTTGACATTTTGTTTTTTTTTTTATCTACTATGTTATTCTACCATTCTTACTCATTGTGTTTTTGTCTTATTTTTCTCTTTTTATCAAGACCTAACTCATTGATTGAACGAATGATTCGGAGTGCTACGAGATTAAATTTCCCCCTTTGGAATGGAACGGACGGACGGCCTTGAAACTGAAGATAGATTTGTTTTTCTTTTTCCTTTTCTTCTCTTCTTGTCTTTTCATCTACTACATCTACATCTACATCTGCATCTACCTTTTACCAAACCACATGTATCCTAGTTCTTTCTACTGTTTTCACACACACACCCGATTCGCTCCCAGTTATAATGTATTATACCTGTATTGCTACAATGCCATACTGGGTTTTCAAACATGTAGTGATTGATATGATGTGAAGTGAAGTGATGATGAGATGTGGTAGTAACGTAGTGCCGATGAACGGTACGTGTAAGAAGTGTAGAAGGGAGATAGTTAGTAATAACGGTGAAATGAATGAGATATAATTTATCTCATTGCAACGCATGACATGGAATTCATCGCCTCGTAATCAACACAATCAAAGCACTCAATAGAACAAACAATAGAACAAAACAAACAATGTAAAGTAAGCTAGCCAGCTAGGCAGACAATAACAACAACGATAACAATCACAAATAAACAAACAGACAAACAGACACACAAAACACAAAACCACACAAAACAACAAAGAAAGAGGGTGGGTAGGTATTCACCACTTCCCTCATCCCAACCACAAGTAAAAAAAAAAAAAAAAAACCAAACTAAATGCTAAACCCCTTCCACCCCTCCACCAACCCATCCGCAGCCTTACTAACCGCCACCCAATTGGGCGCAAACTGTCTGACTTCATCCAACGCGGGGATAACACCCTTTGAGTTGTTGTCACTCCAGAGACAGACTGCTTTGCCGGTTAACTTCCCTTCTTCTTCTTCTTCTTCACCATTATCATCGTCAGTATGGGTAGTGTTTCCCGACCACGCAACATCCACGACCCACTCATTCTCCCATTCTCTACTCCACAGACGGATTTCCTTCGTGCCGTGCGGAGAAGTGGTCGGGAAGCGGGGATCTGTGGCGGAGCCGAGGACGGAGAAAGAGGAGATGGGCGAGTCGAAGAGGAGTTTGCAGGCGCGGGTGTTGCGGCCTGATAAGGTGATGCGGGCTTGCTTTGGGTGTTGGTGGTCTTCGTCGTCGTTGTTTTGGTTATCAGTGGAGGTGGTGTTGTGTTGCTGGGAGATGGTAAAGTCGAGCCAGTCGGAGTATGGTGTGTCTGGGACAACGCGCGGGGCGAGGCCCGGCCAGGCGCATTTGGTGCCGCGGGTGGTGTGTTCGGTGCAGGAGATGTTTTGATTAGTGGTGCTGGGGAGGGTGGAAGCGGCGGCGTGGACGTAGGGTTGGACGCCGGCGAGGGAGGCGGTGGTGGAGCCGGTGGTGAGGTCGATGTCTTGGATGAAGAAGAGTTTGAGGCGGTTGGTCGGGGAGAAGGGGAAGGCGACGAGGTTGTAGATTAAGGTGCCGAGGAAGACGAGGAGGAGGAAGACGGGGAGGTGGTAGGTGTGGCGGTGGATGAAGGGGAGGAGGGGCGTGAGGAGGTATGTGGTTAGGGCTGCGATGGCGACGTAGATGAATAGGGAGGAGCTGCCGTCTTGGCCGGTTTGGTGGAGGGCGCTGGTCAGGAGGAGAGCGAGGGGTCCAACCATGATGAGGACTAGCGGGGCGATGAGGAGGAATTGTAGGGTCCAGATCCAGGCTGGGAGCGAGCCGCTCCAGCGTTGCTCGTTCTCGTAGACGCCTGGGTAGTGGTGGTGCTCGTCGGTGTCAGAGCCGCGGTGGTCGCCGGAAACGCGGACGTAGTTGGCGAAGGTGGTGCGCTGGCCGCCTCCGAGTAGGGAGGTCGATTCGGTGGGCTCATGTTCTTCCTCTTCCTCTTCTTCGGCGTCGTGGTCGTCGTCTTCTTCGTGGTCTTCACCTGACGCTGTGCCTAGTCGACTGCCGCCGTAGCTGCTGGCCCGGCGGGACATCGGCCGGTTTTGGTTCGCGAACTCGGACTTGCGCGGCAGGGAGAAGAGCTCTAGATAGGAGATCCAAGTGGCGAGGAATGTGCCGCAGAAGAAGAAGAAGACGGAGTAGCCGCCAGCCAGGCCGCGTTGGTTCTGGTAGACCGTGGAGATGACAAGGAGTACCCAGGCCAGCACGAACATCCAGGTCAGGGTGTAGATGCGGTGCAGCGCAGACGGACGAGCAGTGTTAGCCACCCGCGCGACAAACCAAGCCAAAAAGATCCAGGCAGACAGCATCATGCTCCAGACGGCATACTCGCTGCTGTGGATAATCAGCGGGTTAACCTTGGTCACCAGGTACGCCAGACCAACAGTGACAGCCGTAGGGATCGCAAAGAGGAACGGAAACCGGAAGAAACCACGTAGACCCCGCAGAGAAGTCGAGTCCAGACCATCATCCGTCTTTGCATACGTTCTAAACAAATACATCTTGTCCGCGCGGGTGAGCGCAATACCCGTCACCAGCAGAGCCAGCGGCGCAACCACGAGCAGCGTCACCGACAACGCAAACAGCGTATGCAGCTCGAACAAAACGAAAGTCGTCCCAAACAGATCAAACCAAACAGCCTTGGACCCTGACCCGCTCGCAACTTTCGCATCATCCCTGGGCGCGCCATCAAACTGCGCACTCTTATCCGAGACCAACCCCTCCGTAGTCGCAACCGCCGCAGACAACATGTGCCACAGTGAGCTCTTACTTGTATGTCTCGAATCATCCTGCTCCGTATGATACCTAGCCCTCGGCTCCATAAACGCAACATCCAGTCCCCGCAGGCCCAAATCCCCCTCAAACACCACATAGTCCGTCTGACTAGCAATGAGACCAGTCGCAAACCCATCCGCCGCCAACACCGACCCAAACGGATACTTCGAACTCATATACGGACGAGTGACCTCGGTATCCGAGCTGCGGAAGAGGATAGCACGACCGCCAGCCCCCGCACCCTCCAGATTGAGGAACGTGTGGGGAAACTTAGCGATCGGATGCTGGCCGTACACGCGCGCGCCATTGAGATAGTCCTCCTCACCGTTATTCAGCAGCACGACCAAGCCCCTCCGCGGCGCATGGCCCGGTGTCATGAAGTACTGAATCAGCTGCAGGCAAGTCACGACACCGACACCATCATCAGTGGCGCCGTATCCCGTTGAAACACTATCGTAGTGGGCGTTGACCAGCACGCCGCCCTTGCCGGAGGGCACACCGTTGGGTTCCTCCCACCAGTTCTCGGGATCATCGTCCGATCCGCGGATGTAGACGAGGATGTTGGTGCCCTCGAAGTAAACAGCGGTGTTGGAGCTGGACAGGGAGTTGCCGACGAAGGAGAGGTTAGATTGTGTATCGTCGAAGACGAAGACGGCGGGCTTCGGCTTCTCCTCATCGACGGAGAGGTACTGGTCGGCCGAAGGTGCGGCGTCGAGGATCTCGTGGATGCGTTGCAGAAGCCAGGTGTGGACTTCGTCGTTGCGACGCGAGTTGTACGGGTGGAAACCGTCGGTTAGGACTTGGAGATCGGCCCAGGCTTGGGTGAGGTCGAGACCATTGGGGTTGGCAGTTGGAGGCGAGGGGACGACATGATGCACGATAAGCAGTGGGATGAGGAAGGCGAGATAGACGACGGTGGTGATCAGGGTGACGGGCCAGGGGGTGAAGGCCAGTGGATTGGCTCGCGATAGCCTGAGAGGAGCCATCGGAGGATTGCAGCTCTGCAGGAGTGCTCCGTTGGTTGTTGGAGCAGCGATGCGGAGGAAGTGAGGAGACGCCGATTGATTGATGATCAAGTGGGCGGGAAGGCGGTGGGGAAAGTGACGTTGTACCACCAAGTACCTCCCTGTCACTAACTATATAGTACTCGGAGATAAATTCACCATAAAAATAAGCCGATGCTGGGATTCAAATGCTGCTAGCTAAAACTCCGTCCATGCACATGGTCGCTCTGCCATCCTTCGCAGTTAACAATAGATACTCTATCTAGTCTCTCGCTCCCTTTCTCTTCCCCCCCATACACTCACGCACACCGTGGATTGCTTCTCTACAGCACTATGCCATCGCCTGGTATATATCATTCCGGGAAAAAGAAAATCCACAGAGATGTTCGTCCCCAATCGAATGAGAAAGAGAAATAGAAGAGAAATAAACCACAACCTCCCTCGATCCTAGAAGGCAGCTCCCCGTGAGCCGCGATCCGATGCAAATTTCCGAATAGCCATTGCAACAGCCAGGAGGGAAAATCAACCCCTCCTTTAGGGCAAAACGCGGATAAGTACAACACAGGCGGCGAATAAAAAAAAAATAAAAAGCAAGCAAGTGCAAAATGATAGGCTCCGATGTGAATAGACTCGCTGTAAGAAGGCGGGGGTATCAACCATGGGTATGTCCAATGTCAATGTAGTCGTCGTCGTGAATGGCCGTCGCGGCGGTCGCATGCATCAAGCCTGTCACTTGGTTTTCCTCGTCCTCTAGCTCTTCATCATCATCATACATCGTGGCCTCGGTGTCTCGCGTCGGCGGAGGACGCGGGATGATGCGGTTCAGGAAGTCGCGCAGGCGGTTGACGCCCTCGCCGCTGAACACACAGAACACCTCTCGTTGTTGATGCGTGAACTCCGAAGGTGCCTCGCGGCAGAAGACCGTCAGCTCTTCTCGCAGGAAGGCCTGAACGCCCGTCAGACTCAGGTGTGTCAATCGCGGACAACTATTAAGTAAAGCATGAATTCCCTGTGCGCTAGTCAGCATGCTATCAAATGTCAAGTAGATGCTCCCTCAGAAACATACATCAATCGTTAGGCGAACGCAGTAACTCAGATGCACCCGCTCCAAGCTACTGACGCCCCCCGAATGGTGGGCCGCCTTGGATCCTGCCAAGGCTTCAATGCTATTGTCCGTAATATTCTGGCACTTGACCAAGCCAATTCGCCGCAGCTTGGGCAATGTGGCCAGCTGCTGCACGCTCGTGTCCGTCAAACGAATGCAGCAGGCCAGATCGATATACCGAATGCGGTTGCAGGACTTGACCAGCTGAATCACCGCGGCATCAGTGATATTGGAGCAGTGGCCCAGATGGACGTAGTGTAGATTCTTGCCGAGCCGGCAAATGGCATAAACCGCACGATCGGTGATGAAACGACACTTGGCCAGCACCAGATTCCGTAGACGCGGGGCTGCAGCCACAATGCGCTCAACGGCATCGTCCCGGACGCTCTCGCATGACGTCAGGTCAAGAATGCGGAGACTGTCCATCGACAGATGCCGGGGGAGCTCCAGGAAGGCCGTGTCGTCAATTTCTGTACAATGGGCTAGTCGCAGCTCGCGCAGGTTTTGCAGCGTCGTCATGAGCGACGTCACTGACGGGTTGGTGACGAGCTTACAGTCGTGCAAGTCAATCTCCAGGATGGCCGGGCAACTTTGGGCGAACGACAAGATGGCCTTGTCAGTAACCTGCGTCACCCCGTTTAATTTTAACTGCGCTAGGTTAGTCGAGCCTCCCCCCAAACATGGTACAGATATACCAGCACAAGCGCTTACCCTTTTGATTTGTCGACAATTCCGAGACACCGTGATCAACGAGTCATCCGTTACATTGACACATCCCGTGATGTTGAGGCCCTGCAGCCGCGCACAGTTCCGAGCTATCGTATACAAAGTATGATCTGTAAGATGTTTCAGATCAGAGACATCCAGAGCCTGCAGATGCCGATTGCCTTCCACCAAGTCCGACACACCCTTGTCCGTGAGTTTTGAGCAGTTGGTCAACGTGAGACGTTCGATACGGTTGCACTGGGCAAAGGGCACCACAGTGCCATCACTGACATCGTCCGTCAGTGCGGATAGGTTGAGTCTCCGGATCAGCTGCGAGTAGGGAAAGAAGCTGTCCGATTTTCCCACCGAGGCCGTGATGCTTTTCATGTTGTCCCAGTTGTTGCATGAGGGCCGGTGCCAGAGAATGCCCACGCAGTTCGCTGCCCATCCCCTGCATACGCGCATGCAGCTCAACATGTCGGAGGGCGAGGATAGTTTCGCGAAGATGGCGATGAGAATCTCCGGGGGTAGACGCCCGATCGGCGGCAGGTACAAGTCGGTGTCATGGTGGGGATGGGCATCACGGGTCGCGACGCCGACCGACGATTGCGAGTCATTCGCCTGGGCTGTGAAGAAGTCGGTATCCTCGTCTGCAGTGCGATCCGGAGACGTCGACGAGGTCGAGGATTCGGAGGGAGCTTCGCTCGAGAACCGAGCGGGTTGCCTTTGGCGGGGCATCAGGACCGCCGTCGGGATGGGGATCAAGTGTGCGGGAACGGAGCCCTGGTCGTGCTCAGTTGCGTCCTGGTTTCGCTCACCGTGGATATGGAAGGCTGATCGGCATGGAATGTGTCTCATCGACTGTCGTCACACACAGAGAGAGAGAGCGAGTGAGATGCGCGTTGGGTCCGATGCGAGTGGATCCAACCGGGGGGAGGATGTTGTCTGCAGGTGTAAGAGCGGATGGTTCCTGAGATCGAAGCCGGGTCGTGAGGGATAGAGGGAAAGGGTCGATGTCCAATAAGACCCAAGTCAGCGGAGGAGAATCGAGTTCCACTTGAGGGGACAGCGGATCAAGGGCGCTTATAAAATAGAACGCGCGTCGGGCGTGCCTGCAGCAGTTGCAGCTGGGAGAGGAGGCGAGCGGAAGGCAAGGAAGGGAGAGAGGAGGGGTGTGGAGGCCCAGCGTCGGAAGGGCATGCGAGGGGAGCAAGAGAAGGCGCCAGTCGTTGAAAGGCAAAGCTGGGGGATTTAGTAGAGAGTATCGGTAGGAAAGGTGAAATATTGAGGAAGAAGGGAGAGGTTTGTGAGGTAGTTGAGTGTTCTACCAGAGGAGGAAGAGGGGAGAGAGGGTGAGGGAGAGGGAGGGATGCAGGCAAAGCAGGGCGGCGGGTAACTATCGCATGGGCGGGTGTGACGATATGTGAAAGGGAAAGAGAAGAGAGTGAGAGAAGAAGAAGAGAGGGGGAATCTTAGCCCCGGTCGGCAGCCCACCGTCACTGTGCCTGGTGAGGTAAGCCCCAGCAGCAACCAGCACTGCCCAATCTTGACTTTCCCTAGTGGCATGAAGATGATCAATTAACTGAGGGAGATTTATTGTATTGGATGGTGAATTAAGGCATTCCCTTTGACGCCCTGCCCTGTGCACAGACAATAGGCTGGGGTTATTTGATTCGAGGCCTGGATGCTGGCAGAGGGAGCATAGTAAGTATGCCTGCCTGCCTGCCCTCTCTGATGCGCCCAAAGACAGCACAACTGCTACAAAGTACTATCGACGCACTTGTGTGCTTCACTATGTGACGATCTGTGTTAAGTATCCATCTGGGTAGCCCGACCCATCCATCGAGCATTACTTGCATATCCCGTTTCATCGTTGTCCGTCGCCCAAACAATGCCACTATTGTCCAACTCTTCTCTTCAGGGCATCACCGAGAACCCCGGGGATGTCTGTGCGCTCCGATCCATCTTCAACTCGCGTCTAAAAATACCTGTACTTTCTTCATGGCTCATAAAGTCCCAAGTTCAGTCTCAGAAGAATCAAAAAAGAGTCCGGATTAAAATATCCAACATGTCTATGCTATCCGAGAACAATGAAAAGTACATGGACCGTGATAGCGAGTTCCCCTCCCAGTCTATAACAGCCTCATTTACATATAGCCCTATAAATAACCACCACGCAGTTTCTATTGTTTATCACACCATCACACCATCCCTTCTTCCCCTCTCCTGGGCACAACCCAACCCAGCCCTCAACTTAGGTTCATCGCGGTGCCCCTTTCGCCCAGTCCCGAAGCACATTCTTCCTGATTTTCCCCGTACTCGTCTTGGGCAGTTCCGCCACCACCTCCACCTCCCGCGGAAGCATGAACTTGCTGATCTGACTTTGGTTCCGGGCCCAGTCGATCACCTCTTTCCCCTCCAGGTGCCGACCTTGCTTCGTGGTTACAAACGCCTTGGGTCGCTCTCCCCAATGTGTGTCAGGCACCGCCACCACGCCCACCTCCAAAATGTCCGGGTGAGTCACCAGCATGGATTCCAGTGCGACAGACGAGATGTTTTCGCCTCCTGTACGACGTTAGCATGCACCGCCCAGACTCCTACGAAGGCTACCACAATAGTCAAGGTGTCCTCATACCGCTGATGATAATGTCTTTGGCTCGGTCCAGGATCTGGATCGCTCCATCGGGATGCCAGACAGCCAGATCGCCCGAATGAAGAACGCCACCAGCAAAGAGCTTCCGCGTCGCCTCGGCGTCTTTGTAATAACCTTGAGCACAGATGTTCCCGACAAACGCAATCTCGCCTATCTCCTTGCCGTCTTGCTTGACGTCGATAATGGTGCCCTCAGGCACATCCGTCTTGATGACCCGCGTTGGCAGACTGGTCAGGAAACCATGGCCTTGCCTGGCCATCCTCCGGAACTTCTCGTCTCGTGGTAATTGATCCCATGCGGGTAGCATATAGCACCTGGTAGTAGGGCCATACGTCTCCGTCATACCGTAGACATGCACGGGACGCAGATTCAGGCTGGTCATCTGCTCGAACAGATGAGGCGTAGGCGGACTACCCGCCACCTGGACGATAACCGGCGTTGACAGTGGCTCAGCATCCGGGTGATTGCAAAGCAGCGTGTTCACCGTAGGGGCCGCATTGAAGTGGGTGATGCCCTCCTTCTTGAACAATTTCCAAATCTGCCCATAGTCCACCTTGCGC